TCTGCGCCACCTCAATTTGCGCACTCTGGTCTGCAAATTTGGCTTCTCAATCAGCCTCCAACTTAGCAGCCTCCTCCTTCAAGGACGCGATTGTCCCATCTCGTAGAGCTATGGTATGCCTTTTCCCCTCTAGTTGTGCGGCAATCCGGCTGTGATCGTCTTCAGCCGCAACCAGACTCACCAAAGCTCGGCCCATACAAGCCTTGGCGATTTTCAACTTATCTACACTTGACAAGGAGGAGACTCCCACTTTGGACTTTGGATCCCACACCATCAAAGGCACACGAGCCACATTTTTCGCACTTTCTGGCATTTCGATTCTCGAAGACATGTGAGGGGTCTTGACCGACTTGAAAGTGGTAAACCAATCTTCGACCACTGCAACACCCTTCATGCACTTCTCTTAGCACGTATCGGCCTTCTTCCTTGGTTACACACCGCAGATGCGGTCCTGCATACGACCGCTTGTAGAGAATGCCTTCATGCTCGAAAAACCTCCTCACTACCTCCATTGCCTTCTCCTTCAACTCCCTGAGAATCGGGGCTCTCCAATCTTCAACCTCCTCGATTTCAACTATCTCTGCCTCGACCACGCTCTGCTCCAAATGTAACAAAGTCACACTCCTACTTTTACTGTTCACCAAGCTCTGGGCAATCTTTGACAGCAAATCTGCTCGACTATTCTTCCCTCGAGGAATCTGTATCAGCTCAAATTAATCGAACTCCTCTCTCAACTTATTCATCTTATCGACATATTTCTACATTCTATCCTCTTTGACCTCGAATTCCTCCTGAAACTGTCTAACCACCAATTGAGATTCCGAATGTATTTGTACTTTTCGAGCTCCTCCAGACATAGCTAATTTTAATCCTTTGATCACCGCCTCGTACTCAGCTTCATTATTGGATATTCTAAACCCTACCTTAGCCGCAAATTCCAAGTAATCGCCCTTAGGGGGAACGAGGACAATTCCCAATCCTGCTCCGCTTCTCGCCACCGATCAATCCACAAATAACTGCCAAACTCCTCCCGATTCTTCCTCCACCTTGGTACCTTCCTGGATAAAGTCTGCTAGCACATGTGCTTTAATAGCCCTCCTCGGCTCATACATCAATTAATATTCGCTCTGCTCGACTGTCCATTTCACCAATCGACCAGAGACTGAGGGTCGCCCGAGCGTCTCCCCCAAAGGCATGTTCGTCCGTACCTTCACCTTGTGATTCAAGAAATAAGGCCTCAACTTTCAAGCAGTTACGTCCACCACCAAAGTGCACTTCTCGATCTCCGAATATCTCATCTCAGCTCCCTGCATCACCCGACATACATAGTAAATGGGAAATTGCAACACTTCTTTCTCTCGCAACAGCACCGAGCTCACCGCCCACTCACGAATAGAAATGTACAACACCAAAACCTCTCCCTAAATCGGCTTAGCCAACAATGGCAGGTTGGTTAACACTCCTTGTAACTCCTCGAATGCACGTTGAGCCTCATCCGTCCAGTGAAATTTCACACTCTTCTTTAGTGTTTTGAATAATGGGCCGCTCTTCTCTGCCACTTTTGAAGTAAATCGACTCAGCCCTACAATTCGTCCAGCTAAGATCTGCACTTCTTTGATGCTCGTCGGCGATTTCATCTCCATCACTGCTCGCACCTTCTCCGGATTCACTTCGATACCCCTCTTTGGTCACCAAATATCCTAGAAATTTTCCTGACTTCAACCCAAAAGAATATTTAGTTGGGTTCAACTTCATCCCATACCTCCTCAGCATTAAGAATTTTCCTCAAGTCTCGCACATAATCCATCGCCTCCTTGCTCTTCACTAACATATCATCCACGTATACCTCCATATTTCTCCCCAATTGCTTCTTGAAAATTTTTTCCACCAACCTTTGATATGTGGCACCCGCATTTTTCAGGCCGAACGGCATCACCACATAACAATAAGTTTCTCGGCTCGTCACAAAACTCACCCTCTTCCTATCCTCTCTCGCCAAAGGAATTTGATGATATCCCTGCAAGACATCCATCAACCTCAGCAATTCACATCCAGCAGTTGAATCGACGAACTGGTCGATCTTGGGCAGCGGGTACAAATCCTGCGGGCATGCTTTGTTCATGTCACGAAAGTCAATGCACATTCTCCATTTTCCTTCCACCTTTGACACCATCACCGTATTCGATAACCATTCTGGAAATTGGATCTCCTTGATATGCCCTGCTCCCAATAGCTTCTCGACCTCCTACTCGATAATTCTATCTATCTCCGCCCCATGGTGCCTTCTCTTCTGCTTAACTGGCCTCACACTGAGGTCGATTTTTAGACGATGCTTAATCACTTTTGCACTTATTCCCGTCAACTCCTCTGTCGTATAGGCAAAAACATCAGAAAAGTCCCTCACCAAACTAATCATCCTCGACCTGATTAGCTCCTTCAGTTCTTTCCCGATTCTAAACTTCCTCTCCTCGCAACCTTCTATCATTTGGATTTCCACGACCACCCCATCAGGCTGGATATCCACCTTTTCCTTACCCTTCCCCACTCTCTGCCTGTCCTCCTTTGACCTCGACCCACCTGGTCGACTAATCTCTTCTTCTTTCGACTTAGCCTGCCTTCTCGCTAATTGTCTATTGTTACTTACCGTCGTCTGGTAACAACTCCTCGAAGTAAGTTGATTCCCTGCGATTTTTGCCAATGTTTTTGCCCACATGATACTTGATCGTCATGTGGTACGTCGATACGACTGCCTGGAACGCGTTCAAGATCGTCCTCCCCATAATGATATTGTAAGATGATTCTGTCCCCACAACTACGAATCTCACCATCCGTACTTTCCTCATCATCCTTGATCCCAATGCAACCGGCAAACTGACCTCACCCATCGGCATTACCTCGTCTCCATTAAAACCATAAAGGGTTGTGGCCACCTGCTTCAACTCCATGTTCAGCTCCTTGTTAATCTGCACAAAACAATCATAACACATCACGTCTACCGAGCTCCCGGTATCAATGAACACCCTCTTCACATTGAATCTGTGGTAATCTCCAAAGCATCATTATATGGCAACACTACACCCTCAGCATCCTCCGCTTTAAAACTTATCTCCGGCATGCGAGCGGTAATTTCGACCTCCTCCCTCTTACTCTTCACCGCTCGAGCATGCTCCTTTCTGGCATTATTTGAGTCACCATCTGTCGGTCCTCCTGAAATCATATAGATGGTCCCCCTCTTTAGTGGTGCCTCACCTCATTGTCCATCTTTATCTCTGTCTCCTCTCCTCTGCTTCTTCCCTCGACCATCTCTTCCTCCTTTCAACTCATCATCCTCCTCATCCCAATCACTCCTCTCCTCTGAATCCTCTCGACACCTCCTATTTCCGTTCCCTTTTGCCCTATCATGATACACAAACTCCTTCAAGTGGCCTGCTCGAATCAATCGCTCAATCTCATCCTTCAAATGCCTACAATTCTCCGTGGTATGGCCATAATCCTTAAGGAACCGGCAATAAAGATCCGACCTAGGATGAGTTGGACCGGTAAGCCTCGTCTTAGGCCACGTCACATCCTTACTTTCTATTTTCTTCTCCATCGCCTCGAGCACCTCCCGACATCTTTCCTCAAAGGTGTGAAATTATGATACCTCTGCCGCTCGAATAGCAATGGCCTCCCCTGCCACCTATCATCCCGCTTTGCTTGCTTCGAATCTCGCCCGTCTCTCCTGGGCGATACTACCTTCGGTCCACCCCGCCTGGGCGAACTCCTCCTGGGTGACCTCCCTCTCGGTGGGCTTTTTCCCTTTTTCGGCTCTGGTCGAGCAACTCCCTCCAGTTTGGCAAACTCCTCCTCCATCTCCTCCAGATTTATATACTTCTTATACCTCTTCAACACATCCTCATACGATCGAGTAGGGGTCTTTGACAACAAAGTTCGACAAGGCCCTGCTCGAAGACTCCTTATCAATCCACCCGCCTTCACCTCATCGGACGCCGAATGCACCTCCAAACATGTATGATTATATCGAGCCACATACTTCCTCAATGATTCCTTCTCCCCTTGCTTCATCTCCATCATGGTTAAATACGTCTTCTCCTGAGTCACCGCGCTCGAGTACTGGTTGGTGAGTTTGCTGAAAAAATCCTCAAAATCTACGATCGACCCTAGGGGTAACTGATGAAACCTATCGAGTGCTCCTCCCCCGAAGGTCGATAAGAAACCCCTGCAATACACAGAATCAGAATATCCATGCAACACTGCATATTTTCAAACGTTCTCACATGCCTCGACGGGTCAGATGACCCATCAAACACCAAATCGGTCTCCCGGAAATTGTTCGGCAAAAGTGCAGCCAAAATCTCCCTCGAGAAAGGGTGTCCTCGCGTCCTCATGTCTTGCCTTCCTTAGACCTTGTCCTGCAACTGGCGCAACTGCTCCGCCATTCTCTCCATTGCCCGACCCCTCACGTCTCCTCCATCTCCATAACTAGACACGTCCTCCTCTTGGCCTCCTTCCACCGTGGTCGGTGCGGTCGCGGTATGAGATGTGTGGTTTGAGACTTGCTAACTGCCTGCACTGCCGCGGCCGCCACCATCCTCTGCATCTCTTCCCTGGTCATTAACACCACTTGTTGACTGGGAACTTGGGCATCCACCTGCGGTGGTGCTCCGCCTTGCACCACCGGTCCTCCTGGTTGCGCCCCAACTGGATTTGGCTGAGGCAGCGGTGGCATCATCGCCACAGCTGCCGCACGAGATTCTTGGGCACGACTAAAGACCGGAACTCCTCCGGAAACCGTCGCCGGCACATCCAAAAATTGGAGAACATGTGAGGGAGTGATCGGCGTTTGCGAAGGGCCCGAGAACCCTGGAGGAGGGCCATGCCCCGACGGCCAGGTCGTCATCCACGCCTAATCAAACGACAAATGTAAGTTAGCTCTGGGAATTCCGTCCGCCATAGCTATCGAGCTCAACAACTCCGAACACTGCCTTTTGAACGAAAAGTCCCACAGACGGCGCCAATAATGCAAGTGTGAGCGTCCTAGACGGTTTGGAATAGATCGCCTCTCGTCCTCGCCGGTAGAACGCCCGAAACCTGCAAACAACTCTCACACCGGGGGGTTCTCCGGTGAAGAGCCTCAGATGCTTAAGTAAGTATGTGTATGTTTGAGTAGAATAATGGAAATTGTGTGTTCATGAAGAAAGGCTCACCCCACTTTATATAGGGGTAGGATACTTGACCTAAGGGCTGTCCGGACTTGGTGAGCTGGCTGCCCCAGCTGCCCGTCCGTACTCTGACACACCACGCGTATGCCAGAGGTGGCTGTAGACAACAAAATTTTGAGCCAATAAAATTGCGACAAATGTCAAATTCCATGTCACAATCAATATAATAATTTTCTGTTTTATTTGGGAAATTAATCAAAATTTTAATTCCTAAATTAAATAGTTGATTAATTGATTATTTAATATATATTGCTGACCAATTAAAGAATGCCACATATATATTTTGAAGGCCAAATAAAGAATGCCATATGTCATTTTCTTGGAGAGTAAAATAAATATTTATTTCTTTTAATAATTGTTAAAGAGATAAATAAATGGAAATTCATGGACCAATCAAATTGAAGTCTTATTTTCCAAGACTATCTCTCCTAATTATCTCTTTAAATAATTATTAAGAGATAAATATTGAAAATTATGGACCAATCAAATTGAAGTCTTCTTTTCCAAGACTCTCTCTCCAACACCTATAAATAGGGCTCTCCCTATGGTGAAAAATTACAATTCATATTCAAGTCCACAAGTCATATTCAAGTTCAAGAGCTCTAGAGAATTCTCTCCACAAGATTCAAGTGTTCTTGAAGATCCAAAGGTGTTCTTGAAGATCTGAAGGAAGATTCAAGTGCGTTCAAGCCCAAGACCGATGTTCAATCCGGAAACAAGCTGTCAAGCCTCCGAATTGCGTTGTTAAATTCAAAGTGTTTTGAAGATTCAAAGGCGTTCTTGAAGATCAAAAGGAAGATTCAAGCGCGTTCAAGCTCAAAACCAACGTTCAATCCGGAATCAAGCTATCAAGCCTCCGAATTACGTTATTAAAGTCAAGACCGGCGTAAAGAATATCAAAATCAACTTTGCGGCGAAGACCAAGGATTCGTGTTCTTCACGTTCTTGGGAAATCACGACGTTCGATTTGAGATCAAGCTGTCAAGCCCTCGAAAAAATGTTATTTAAATCCAAATTCAAGACCGGCGGAGATTAAACTGAAGATTCGTCTCCAAAAGTCTCAAGTCCATTTGAAGATTGTTCTTGAAGAAATTAATTAGAGGAATAATAGAGATTTATCCACTATATTTCATTTGATTCATTGAAAATTCATTTGTACGAATTTCTCGTGTTTATTAATTCAATAATACGAAATTTTGTGTTACAAATTTCTGGCACGCCCAGTGGGACCATCTCTACCTCTCATCTCTTTTCTTCAAGATATATAAGTGCAATGATGACTCCTCCCAAGTCAACTTCTTCAAGTTCTGCAAGTGAAAGTGTTGGTGTCGTAACAAGAAGCATGACAAAGAACAAGAGTGTATCTCCGGAAGGAAATTCTCACCAAGTTGAGGAAAATCTGACACTTTTGATGAACCAAGAGGAAGATTTGAGAGACGATGCTTCATAAACACCTTTCTCAATAGAGGAACATGTTATGATGACGAACGCATCAACCATTGAAGAGAAACTTGCAACCATGGCAAAAACAATGGAATCACTGATGAAACATGTCCAAAATCAAGACTCCACAATTTTAAAGTTGCTAGAAAGGATCGACAAAGCTGAGACTAGCCATGTCGGGGGAAAGCAAGATGAAATACATGAGGATGAAGAAACTTCTAAAGAAGATGAGGTGAAACAAATTGAAAAAGAGAAGTCTTCGTCAGAAATCCATGTGTTGTTATGCGAAATTGTAACAACACGGGGTATTCGGAGAATTGTATATCTCGTCGAATTTCTATGCATTTTGTTGTGTGATTCAAATGAAAAGAATTCTTAAAGAAATTGCGGAGGTAGACATGAAAGCACAAGATCAGGGGAGAGGATTCTTGCACCGCCTCCCCCTTTGCTCCAGATAAGATGGATGCAAAATAACCGTCCTGCCTTGACTTATCTC